GAATACATTTCGTGAGAGGTGTATCTGATATGCCTTTGCTAGTGGATCGCTTGTGCCAGTGCTTGAAGGCGGGGACGGTAAGGTCCATTACCCGCTGCCAAAATTGGCCGTCCGTCGCCACATCCTCGAAGGGAGGAAATGTCTGCATTGCATTCGATAAAAACCAGCCCTTCGAAGTCGATACACTTCGCAACTTCCTCCACATTTGGTATGCAACAGATGAAAGCTTCAACAGATTTATCCCGAAAAAAAAGCGAAAACTTCCTATCTCAAGATTCTTTGAAAGAATCATCTACCAGGCTATTCTCAGAGTATAAGCAAAACGCAGTGGAATCATGGGGAACATTCGAATAAAACCCTTGTAATCAGCTAAAGAAGAAAATACTACAGTTAAGAACTTTTCGATCTATTGGATTATCAAGAGCTATTCAAATTGGAAGGTACTCAGGGCTGAAAAGTGGACAGATGTCGCAACACTGAACCTCATCCCAGCTACCGCTGCTATTACGGTGATGGCATTCGGATTACACCAACACCTGCTCCAGGTCGTCTAGAAGTATAGCAGTGAGGCGGTCATTAATAACCTGTGCTTGAAACGTAGAAAGTCGAAATTGGTGGTGAAGGAAACGTGGAAATTAAAAGATGAGCGGAGATGACGACTCACTTGTTGTTCAGATAACTGTGAATAGCCCACTTATTTGTCTCAGGATCGAAAACTTCAACGGAATCCTGGTCAGAAGTGCCATGTCCACCCACAGCATATAGTCTCTGATTGGCAACGGCAAGTTTCACCTACAATTGAGACCTTAGTGATTTTACTTGTTTCTGCAGAAATAGAGTGATCATCAGAAATACTGTGCGCAGACTCACAATGGATCGCTTCTCGTTCATCGCAGCTACTTCGGTCCATTCATCGGCGAGGGAGTTGTACTCTTCAACCAAGTCCAGTTTATTGGATGACACATCTTCACCACCTGCTGCATACAAGTGCCCATCGAGCACTGCAGATCCTAGATATTTCGACATGTTGACATCGGAACGAACAAACTCCCATCTTCCCGTGCGTGGATCAAATCTGAAAGCAGACTGTCAAATAAATTATTAACCTTCGTCTCGCTTGCTTATTCCATTCAGAAAAAGAAGCTTGCTTCATGAGTGCACAAGGCGGCGTGCAAATCTTCGTTTCATTCAGTGAACAATACTTCGGTGGTAACCATAAGTGCACCACGGACCGAGACTGGCAAAAAACAAAAATGAAAAATTGAGCATCAGTACACCTTTCCACAGTGTTCAAAAAACTGATTAGTATTATCGGTATTCCTCCGATGACAATATAATATCCATCGAGGACCGACACAGGTATGGGCATACCGTACTGTGATGCTCATGGGCTCCGACACGAACCCATCAATTTCGTGAGGGATCAATAGCTGCCGAACAAGTAATGAATTTAGGCAGCGTTTCACAATTAGCCTCAGGCGTCGCCGACTACTGGCGTCGCGCGGCTCAGCTGTCGCGCCTACAGCGTCGCGCTACAGCGTAAGCGCTTACCGCGTTCGGCGTACACCGTAGACGCTACGCACCGGTGGGTGACGGCAACGTACTGCAATTTCCAACGTTAGGATGATTAGAGTTGCTTATAGAGAAAAGTGGGAAGGTTGCTGGAGTTTTCTTGAGAAATTCACGGAAAGGTGAGACTGATGTGCAGCCTATGTAAAACTTATAGGATTGGCTAATTAGGTAATGACCGTTTGTTTGCACATTGAAGACATTTGTGATCCAAAAGGTGAACTGAGTTTGCCAAGCAAAGCTCTTTAATATCGCTTTGAGTAGCAAACGTTCTTCTTAGTATTTTAAGAATATCAAAAAAGCGCTTTTGGTTGAGGAGTATATGAACTGTGTTTGCAAGCAGCTTAATATCTTTATTGATAGGGCAAACTTCTTCTTTTAGTATCGAATAGTCAAAAAAGCCTTTTTGGCTGAGGATATGTTTTTGTGGATTGTTCATCGGTCGATTGAGTATGAACTGACAGTTCGCCGAAAATTAGCACCTTCGACAACTGCCTCTATTTAGAAATTTCATGCTAATAGTTGAATTAACTGAATATGAATTTGATATTCTAATACTACGAGAAATTTGCTATTAAACGATATTAAGCTTGCTTGCAAAACTTTTCACTTTTGGAACAAATTTTTCAATATCTGACCATCCCTTGGACAGTTACTGCATTAGATCAAGATACTTTTCTGTACTGCTTTCTAGGCAACGGTAACGTTCGTTCTGTCGCGTGATTAAACCATGATTTCTGCGCAAAAAACACCAAAGTACGTCCCCAGTAAGAGAACACTGCAGCTGATTTTGCCGGAGACACAGAAGCGCATGAAGAGACGTCTGTTTGGCAGTGGTGCGTAAGCGCGGGAGGTTGGTACCAAGCCGCATGTCGCTGCCTAGTTGTGGAGCGTTGGCGAAGGCCATTTTTGTACGCTCCTGGGCCGCAAAAAGAAGTACAAGAAACTGTCAAAGCTTTGTTGGGTAATGCCTCGAAAACGCGAAAACCGGCATGAATCTTTTTCCTGTGATCCAGGCAGAGATTGGGGGCAAATTCGAAAAGCAGATTTCGCTCCGTAATCCATAAGCGGCATAGGATTCTGTATTCATTCTTTCTATATTCAATCCTCTTCTCTTTGTTTCTCATATTTATCTAATAGTGAGCTCCTGTTTTCTACTTTATCACATTTTAATGTAGTTTCGCAATCGGGATCAAAACGAGGCAGTACTGCAAGACATCAAGCAAAGCCATCAAACATCAAGCAAACTGTGAAACCAAAATATATTAAAGTCAAAATGAAAAAAAAACATAATCAGCCAGTCGTTCTGTATTCAAACGAACCTACATCCAATGTTGATAAAGTAAGAAAAACAGCGAGCCTCAGCTTATCAGTGGAAATATGAGAACAAAGAGAGGAGAGGATGATATAGTTAAGAGAAACACTTCGAAAAGTGTGAGTTCGGACAGCTGTTAGCGCTACAGCTGCGTTCTCGCGCCGACGGCTGCTGGCGACCGCTACGCTGTAGCGCGACGCGTTAGCGCGAGCGCAGTAGTCGCGGCGAGCTATGGCCGGACGCTGTAGCGCGACGCGATGTGGGTAGCGCGCCAAGCTGTGAGCGGCTACAAGTCGTGAACGCTGGCCTAAAGATAACCCAGAAAACTGTCTTAGGACGCTCCCTTACGCTTTCACAAAGAATCAGCGCCCTACGGTGACCCGTCACAACCGCCCACTGCATAGAGAAAGCCGTCAAGCACAGCCACAGCAACGCCACTCCGACGTGTGAGCATTGGCGCAATGTCACGCGACCATTCGTTAGTAACAGGATCAATTCTAAATTTTCTTTTCAGAATAACCTGTTGGAAATTTTTTTAAGGTTAGCTCTGAAGACGAACCATCACCGTGAACAAAACTGGCCAGACTGGGGGAAAGTTAAGCATTTTCTGGTTCAAACAGCTTTTGAAACTTCACTTTAATAACGATTTTCTAGCGACTAGCCAGCTATTTCACTTCTGTGAAGCAGTGCTCTGGTATTTCTGGTGGAAAATATTCCCAAATGCTTTGTTGGAACTGGTTGATAAAATGATAACTAGGCAGCAAATGGACCTGCAGAACAAACCGTAATCACCGTGTGCAAGAGTCGAGCTTCTGAGAGAATGTGCAAAAAACACCCTTAATCACCCTGCGCACCGTAAATCTGCTTCCGCTCGCGCTAAGAAGACACCCCCATCCCTCGGACCGCTAGGCTGTTACCAAATTTCTTGGCTGGCCCTTATAAGTCATTGTATGGACAATACTGCATACAGTGAGCCTTAACGATTCCGAATGGAAGTAGAATACGTGCCGCGTCACAAAAGAAACAGAACAGTAATTCATCCCTTAATCGCACTAGAAAAACCCGCAACGATCTTAAGCAAAAGTAGAATAAGTATCGCAACCGTCTCGTTCCACACTGGCCAGCTTCTTCTCTATAATGACCCCATCTCGAAGATGATAGAACGAAAGGACCAATGGTCGTTAACTGGAACCGCCGTTGTTTGGAAAAGTAGACAATGGTTTGAACGCAGAAATAAAAGGAACCATTCACAACTGAAGCATTTCTAAAGATCAGTGTGGTAGACTGAAAGGGCCCACCCGCTTCTATATGGAAGTCTAAAAGCAGCATGTCGAAATGTGGGAAAAGATATTAGGTGTTCTTAAAAGTCCGTGACCATTTTTAGAAACTCGTGTCAGATCTTTCTGTAGCCATTTCGAGATCCGGATATGTGGTCTATGAGAAGTAAGCATCAAACAGCTTCTTCGCCTTCTTTCGCAGTCAGTGTTCTCATATCGAGTCGGTAAGTGAAATTCATCATTTTCGACACACTTCCGCTATATGAATCTCCACCAAGCCACAACGTGGTTGGAGCCACAAGCGGCATTTCTCTGAGTTAGGTCCTGATGGTACCTTCCACAGTACGGCGTTGAAATGGCCCGATCGCTTTCGCTTGAGTGACTTCTCACTGGGAGAAAAACTTCGTTCAGGGAGGCCACCTGCCTTGGATTTGGACCTACTGTGTTCCTTGATCAACCAATTCGTACAAATCAAATCGCTATCTAGTCCTTATACTTGACTGTTTCAAAAGCACAATTGACAGAGTGCCTCGCTCCCTCGACATTTTTTCTCATGAGTTGACCGATACTCCAAGAGGAGCTCTTGTGGGTATTGTCTACAACTTCTTCCCGCTTCCGCCATAGGGACTGGATGAACAGCGTTGTAGCGATGGATAGGAGGGAGGTGTCTCTAGGTGAGCCACTGCCGGAAGCGCCAGTGGCTAGATCCCCAGAAAGGGCAGAACCGATCGCGCAATCCTATCAATCCAGTAGGGCGGTGAGACTGTGTATGTGGTGGGGTTTCTTTCTCTCTTCCTTGAAGGAATTTCTTCTTCTCAGCGCTGTGGTAACCAGCGAACCGTATTGTGATCAACTGCAAGATGGGATGAAAATTCCCACCATTTGGTCCCACAACCGAGCAATGTTTGCCTACTCCACCACAGCTCAGGGTCACACGTTTCGAAAATGACACTGCTCGAGATCCTGAAGCTTAGCTGGGAAATTCCACCACAGTCTTCGTGTAGCCCTGACTTAGCTCTTTCCGATCGCCATCTGAAT